TTTATGATAATGTAATCGAATCCTATATTCTGTTCATGAATTAAATAATGTTAAATGAGTCGGTTTTAACGCAGCTTTGTGAATCATTTTAATATAGACAGATTCATATGGAATGCAAGTCCAACGTGTCGGAAATCGTAGACGTCTACCGGTTTGGTGACCCCAAAATGAACAGAAAAAGTCAGAAAATGATTTCTATGTGTTAACAACCAGAGAGACTTATATGGCTCAACGACATACTGCGGTTTGGATTGCAGCGCCTTCAACCACTGGGACCTGTCATCCGAATGAATAGATTGTCGGGACAAAGAAATATTGGTTTACCTACCGACAATGGCAATAACCAAACACAGCAGAAGCAGTTTCATTTTGACGTCAGAAAATGTATTTCTCAATGCGGTAACCAATTTGCGACCCCCTTATATGTGCTGTGCATCCTGGGATAGTCTGTGACGTGACAGCTGCAAGGACAAATAAATACATGTTTGCATGACCGTGACATCTTTAATTATCTGTGCTCAATTTGCACCAAGGTAAATCACTACCAAACCACAGATTCGCACATAACTAGCAAGAGATAAGGTCGTGGAATGTACATTGTGAGAACAATTCCGTCAGGCTTTCTATGTGAATAATATGATAATTAAAACTGGATCCTTAATCACTTTATTCCGTTGTCACCAAGACCCGCACACTGTAAAGAAGGCAAAACGAGAATTTAGAACAATTTAAGTGAATGAATGTTGTTTTGCATCAAGCCGTTTAACATTTCTCGTTTTATGTATTCTATCCTTGGAATACGTTCTTTTGTAAAACATCCATAAATACTAAATGATTACATTCAATGATTATTGTGTTTTCTTTTTGTTATGTTGAATTGTATTTTGTAACTGAGGCGCTAATGGAGATGTTAAATTAGAATGTGTTTCTTCTTATAAATATTTGGGTGTATCATTCTCAAAAAACTTTAAATTGGACTTACCATGTATGCAATGCTGCACTTTAGGCCAAAAAAGTATTGTTTGGTATTTCAAAATATCTCAGGAATGTAAAACCATTTGATTATAAAGTATTTTTCAAGATATTTGATACCAAAGTAGCACCAATAAATTGAAAGAAATTGAACAGATTGATGTATTAGCATGCAAACAATTTTTAGGCGTTAAGTCTTCGACACCCGATCATGTCGTAAGAGGCGAGTGCCGTAGATTACCTTTGTACATTTCAGCATATAAGCGTTGTATTGCTTACTGTTGTAAGGTTATATCTATGCCTAATAGTCGTTACCCAAGAAAGTGCTATAATCTGTTGTTTCAAGAAGCTTTAAATGGCAAGATAAATTGGGTATCCAAGGTTAAACATACCTTATATAAATTTGGTTTCGGCTATGTTTGGGAAAACCAATCAGTTTCTTATCCAAAACCATTTTTATTTGAATTTGTATCACGATTAAAATATCTGCGTGAACACGAATGGCATTCAGATATCGCTGGTAGTCCGAAAATGCATACCCATTCTTCATTTAAATTACTTTTTTGTGTTGAACCGTATCTTCTAAATATCAATATTGATGAATGTCGTACTGCGCTTCCCCGCTATCGTTGTAGTTCTCTTACACTCCATATTGAAGTGGGAAGATATCATGATGTCCCAAGAGACCAAAGACTTTGTAACCTCTGTAACATTGATCTTATCGAAAACGAATACCATTTTCTGTTAATTTGTAAAACATATAATAATCTTAGAAACAAATATATTCCAGGAAAATATAATGTCCATCCTACATTACATAAATTTAACCTATTGTTGTCATCATGTCATGCTGAAACCATGAAAAACCTCTCATTATATATATTCCTTTCCATGAATATAAGAAGCTCGTTGATGTCCATTGTGGACTTGACTATATAAATGTACAATGGGCCGATGGCCTACAGTGCGAAATGAATAACAAATAATAACTGAGGCGATGGTATATATTTATTGTGGTAGTTTGAAAAAGAGTCACTTACCTTGGGTGTTTATATTCCGAAATCCCTCCCCGCACTTTACACCTTTGTTACTCTCCCGGCATAGAGAGCTCAGCTGTTAAGTGCTTGACTTGTTTCCTTGGCTACAAGATTCTAGTCGTTCGTTTCCCGAGGCACCCTTTTTAGAAGGCTGACACTACCTATATAAGTGCCAGAGGCGGGCGATTCGAGGCATTTCGTCTACGATCTCTTTCGACTTATTTACTTGCCTCGTGCGGACGCACTACCTATCGGAAAACATTAAAAGTTTTAAAACAACACAGAAATTTAACCAAACATCCAAAATTAGGAGATTCCACAATTGTACAGGATAAAATTAACATTTTGCCAACTCAAAGGCGATAAAGTCCCCAAGTCTCCATACATTTCACCAACATTTTCAATACGTGTTAGTGTGTGATGACTTGATGACTTCCACGTTCAGAAGACAAGAAGTACAGGCAAAGTATAGATACAGATAACTTCATATCCGCAAAGAAAGATGTCTGTTGCAGCCAGTAAAGCTCGAGGTGAACAGACTTTCCCTGGTCCGTGGAATCCGGCAAGGACATGAACAACCAAATATCTAAATTGTTTGTCAGTTCCATATGTTATCCAGAGGTAACACACATCTATTCTGTCAAACAATGCAATGGCCAGGACAATGACATCAGTATCAACTGTTCGAATCAAAATCCTATCATAAACGTCTGACAGCATTAGAAATGTGCAAAAAGAGTCGTGTGTCTGCTTCTTAATCTGAACATGGATGCAGATTATTGACAGTCTGACATTGTTTGGGATGAGTACAGTCTCAAATCAACAGCAAGAAGCATACAGGGAAATGGAGTCACATGCTGCGTTCAACAAAACGCCAAAATTATTCACACATTGGAGGCATTTCTGACAATTGACGAGAACAATAGAGATCTGTTTCAGTTCTTGGCTGAACAGGTTATTTCATTTGAATGTGGGGATAAACACATTATAAGCACTTATGGCAACCAGGTTCTGTGTAACAAAGGGCCGGATGATCTATGTCCATGTTGGGATTAAGAAACTGCCACATGATACTTTTTGCACATATCAAATGTTTCCAGGGTCATGATAGATTTTGATTCAAACAGTTGGTACTGATGTCATTGTCCTGGCCATTGTATTGTTTGACTGAATAGAAGTGTCCTTCCTCTGGATAGCTTTTGGAACAGTTACTGGCAAACAGTTCAAATATTTGGCTGTTCATGTCCTTGTCGGACTCAATGGAGCAGAGAAAACCTGCACACTTCGAACTTTCCTGGCTGTAACCAGACATAATTCTTTACGGGAAAAGGCACACAAAAACAACAACGTGGGAAACATGGAAAGTGTATGATGAAGCAATAGAGGCTTTCAATTCTATTGGTGATGTACCAACCGAACAGGATGTGAAGAATATGCTGTCGGTCATTCAGCGTTTTGTGGTTTTAAAGTATGATCGGGCCAGTATGTACAAGAGTTGATGAGGCACGCCAAGACTATTCACAAAGAAAGGTAGATCAAATGATTCCATTCCTCCTACATCAGCTGCTTTGTACCACATATAAAAAAAAACCGTATTTCTTCCTGGCCACGTTTTGGGGTCTCGAGAACGAAACAGACCTTTCCACACCAACTGAGTTGAACATGGCTATGAGCCTTTGTAGACTACACTACTACAAGCTTCCAAGTCATGCCGAGAGCTTCTGATTGGTAGTTGCAAGTCTCCTAGGTGGTGCACAGGAAGCTGTGTCTGTGTTGTGCCACAATTGATTAGTACAGCACTTTGCAACTGTGATCACATTTAATTGTCTCTAGCCAACCAAAACAGCCATGTACAATCATGCTTCGATGAAGACAAATTTGGTTATTTTATTCTATCATTTACCGTATGAGTGTATGATATTGCTATAGTTAATATGCTTTAATGATTAATGTCCTGAAGATATGCCGAAAAAGAAAGATATGCATATTTCTTTCACACTTAAGATTACCTTAATAAATATATTCTACTTAAATAGAGATATTTACTTTACAGATGTAGTTTTGGGTACATACATTCCAAAATGTTCATTTTCATAATATATTTGGGTTGTGTGTCATGTTCAAACAAGAGATACTAAACATTAATTCCCCCATGGCGGCCATATTAGATTTTTTGGGATGGCCCAAAGTTTGAAAATGTTTAGAATGTCATCACCTACAGCTGTACCAAGTTGTCATGCTTGCATCACAAAGTGCACAGTTTTCACGAACTAATATACGCCGAATCCAAGATGATGGGTGTAAATCATACCCTGAGGTTTGGCTTTGGTTGCTGCTGGCCTACAATTCTCCGTCTATCAACAGCGAGTGAGTAAGAGAGTATGGTCTTCCGCCGCTTTAAGCAATAGTCCATCAAAATTGCCCACAAATGGGCTTCACACATTGTGTCCATGAGGGCATCGAAACCCGGGTGTTTGGCGTCACGAGCGAAAGCCTTAACCACTAGGCTACCTCACCGACCACACTGTAAGAAGCACGCGTGTCACTATCATCTGGAATGCTGCTCGGTGCGATTGTACATGCTTAGGGATAACATCTGGTTTAAAGGGTTCTCACGATACGCCGAAGGCTCGGGTTCGAGTCCCCACGTGGGTACAATATGCTAAGCCCATTTCTAGTATCCCCAGCCGTGATATTGCTGAAATATTGCAAAAGCGGCGTAAAACCACTCTCACTCACTCACTACAAAATGTTTCATTAGGTCACCACATTGTGTGAATAGACATTCGTATACAGATATGAAACATCCATGCAAGAGAATAATCAATGTTGATTATCCACCGAAAAAGATTCCATTTGGCGTAAAGGTCTAAATAATTGTAAAAAATATATCAATGGACCGTTAAAAATCAGTGATGACACCAGGTGTTTGCGAAAAAGTGAAGCATGTAACTTGAACCTCTATCAGTACACCATCACAGAAAGGGAATGTTGGATTTAAAAAGGTTTATTTTACAGTATAATTACACATGTGCAATCTACCTCCCCTTGGCCGAATCTGAAACAAAACAAATTCATTAAATTTTGTTATTACATTAATGAATACATTAATTAATTTATTCATCAAATGTTAAACACATGAATGGAATATCTGAGAGTTATCTAAAACGTTGCCATGAAAATAACGCGTCATCAGAAATGGTTTGTTCGTCTTTATGGCGATATCAAAGATCACTACACATCTAAATAATCTTAATTATTTATGATCGTAATTCCAAACAGGTCCCCACTGATTATTCTGTGGCGTTTAAGCTTACAAGTTTTTTTCAAAGAATCTAAATCAAGCTGCATTCTTCTTTCCGGTCCAATGCTTTCTTGGCCCGTGAAGATTCCGGGGTAGAATAGGTCTTCAGCAACCCATGCTTGCCGTAAAAGGTGACTATGCTTGTCGTAAAAGGCGACTAACGGGATCGGGTGGTCAGGCTCGCTGACTTGGTTAATGCATATCATTGATCCCAATTGCGTGGATCGATGCTCATGATATTAATCACTGGATTGTCTGGTCCAGACCCGATTATTCACAGATCGCCGTCATATAGCTGGAATATTGCTGAGTGCGGCGTTAAACAACAAACCAAACCAAACCAAAACCAATTCTTTCTTACATTTATCGACAGACACAGACGCCACCGCTGCAGTGTCCGCCAGAGTGGTGAAGACCAATGCAATGAGCAGCACAGGCAGAATCACCGAAGGAGTTGCCCATGATCTGGAGGGACAGCAGGTCGCAGGTGACGCGCTTCTGGAGGGAAGCCGCTAAAATACACGTCAACAATACGTGCACATTGGTTATGTGGGCTCATTTTCTTTGTGGATAACGCTGATGGTTTGAAAGGGTGGATGACCATTGTTTTGTTTTTGCTGTGAATTATATGTACAGAGCTTCCGTACAAAAACAATTCAATGTTGTATTTTAGGACGAAATTTACCTACATATGAATAAAAGCAACAACACCATTTCCATAATCATAAAAAACACATCTGCTAAAAGGAGTGGCAATTGTAAACCATAAGCACGTATTATGAATTACTATAAAAAAGTGATGATATCAAGTGTTTGCGAGAAGGTGAGCGTATTCTGACCCACGGGTGGCATCCGTCGCAAACGCTATAAAATGTTGATAAGAACATGTGAATCCGATGAACAGTAATTGTATATTTTAAATATTCTAAAATAAATATTTAACCATAAATCGTATTTTTGTTTTTAGCATTTGATGATATTGAATCATAATAAATGTTAGATAAGAATGACTCCACTTACCATCGGACATGCCTGAAATATACAATGAAAGATATTATTAGGTGAAGTCTGATTTTAGTTAATTCAATGAGATGTTTTTTTCCACCTTTGCTTCTTCGTGAAACGTCTATTATGTGTTTTTCCATCACATGCCTACTTCGTGAAACGTGTATTATGTTATGATAGTGTCAATGTGACAGTGTATGCTTGTTGTCTATCAATATGTCATTTAGAGTACGTGGAAACAGCTGTTATGGTTTACTTTGTGGATGTCCATTGTCTAAATGTAATATATGATAACACGTTCCGGTTTTTCCGATACAAGTTTGATAGGATTAGGAGTGACGGAGTTGGGTTTAACGCCACTTTGAGCAGTATTCCAGTTATATCGTGGCGTGTCGGCTTCATGTGGGAAGAAAGCCCGAAGCGATGCAGCGAATTTCGGCCCCTTAGACGACGGGTCCTCCTGTATCCCCATAGGGCCAGGAGAAGGTATCCAAAACAAAGAAGATTACTTTATTTTTGCAACGTTTTAATGATGTAGTGTTGGACGTGATTGACCGGTCGACGTCTCATTCACATTGTGTGACACAGTATGGACCAGTTTCGTCAGGAACACAGAAAAGATAAATATTTCAGAATGAATTCCTATTTGCATATTAGACTTACAGCTCACAGGTCACTCACTCACTCTCTACTTACCAACAAAGGCGATAACCAGACAGAGAAGAAGGAATTTCATTTTGATGTGAGCAGAGATCTCAGTAACAATCTCTTTGTCACTTTTACCTTTTATATATTTCATGTCAAGGATAGGCTGAGACATGACAGGTGGGTGAGCAAATACCTCTTTGTCTGGTTATCTGTGACAAGGTGTACACCCATTCCTCCGGGTCACATATTGGGTTGGGGTCACATTAGACGATGGCCGTTTAAATCGATGGTCAATGGAAAGTATAACAAGTTTTTTATATTTAATTGAAAATTGAAAGAACTGTTGTCAAACTGGATTATATCTATTTAACCATCACTCATTACTGTTTAAAGTAATCTGTTGCCGGGTAAATGGGTTCAATGAAGACTGGGGTAAGAAATGATTTGCAACCACGTGACGACTATCATGTTTGAAATGTTGTAAATTTGTTCCGAAAAGGGCAAGTTTATTGATTTTCAAAGATAAAATGTCTAAGATACTCATCAGCAGTTTTGTATTACGTGAAGGTCCTTTTTAATTTGTAAAGGTTTTAAATCAGATTATATTAAAAAAATGAAACCATGAAGAAGTATTCTTTGAGTGCTGACTAAGCGCACGAACAGTTCATCATTTGGATGAAATATAGCTAACTTAAGATATTTTCAATTGAAAATAAAAAATGTGATAAAATCAACTGAGAGGTATAGTTCCTTTTACTCCTCAGTATTTTTAGTCCTTGTGACATAACCAGCTATTTAAATAAAGGATATAGTGCCATCTGAAATTAAAAAATCATCTCCATGATAAACAAAATTCCATTCTTCTGACGGCGCAATGGTTCGAATCGTTGGTGCGAATCGCAGGTTCGCCCTGATTTTGATGCCAGGTTTGTCAGCACCAGACACTAACTCACGGGTTACACCAAAGTGACAAAGGTCTAAGACCTGCAGCACTCCGGCCTAGCATTCAGACCACGTGTATAAGACTGTGAATCAGGACGATGGTTTCGGAAACGTTCTTGGCAACTCCATACCCATGGCGGGAATGACGACGCCTGGTTCATGTGATATCAAGATATCCATCTGCGATCAAGCATGAAAGTGGGACTCATTGATAATCACATTTGAATATAAATACAAGACACTTTTGATCACCCTGCAACAGTTCGGACTACGTGTATTTGGAATAAAAATCATTTTCAAACTTAATTTGATTTAAGTTATGTTACAGGACCTGAATTTTTCCTAAAAGAAACCGATCTATTTATCAAACTTTTATATATAATAAAAAACCACAGGAAATAATATAGCAATTATATAAGTTGTCAAAATAAAATAATAAGCATATTAAATTACCGTTTGCAGCGTTATGGTATGAGTTGTGGTTATAGAACACCGTTTCAAACCTGCTGGTTTAAATATACCAGAATAAACCTTAAACATTCACTCACTCACTCTAAAATAGTCGTATGACGCTCCTTGAAATTTTGGAAAGAGCATGCTCGATTGTATCTCAAAAGTTGTGAAATGTGGAGATCAAAGGCTAGAGATGCTTGGATATTTCACGAGATAAAGGGTGTGTTTTATGGGAAGGTTGAAGTCCCTACAAAACCCGGCTTAAGTCCGGATTAGTGCAGGCGTCTAAACATATCCGAAATTAAACTTATTCAAACCATTTGATCTAACATATAACTCAAATACTGTTGAAAGCTACATTAACCCAAACTACCTCACTCATCATTGGAACATTGTTTCGTCTTGTCATACACCTCGCCACAAAAGGTTGGGTTAGGATCACTGCGAACCTCTCTGTGTAAACGTTCATATATGTTTCGAGAAAACAACGCTACCAAGAAGTCTGTCGCTATATGCGTTTTTTATGTCGTTTCTAACGCTCTTAAGCTTAAGCCTACATGGACTCACACACGAGGAACGTTATAAGTACATTATAGTACACGTTTTATGAACCGCCATCGTATAGCTGGAATATTGCTGAGTGCGGCGTTAAAAAACAAACAAACAAACAAAACGTTTTATGAGAATTTTATTGAAACCAAAACACAGCCACAGTTATGTCCCAAATGTCATGGTAAATGCAGTAGGTTACTCGGGCTGTTTTCTATGTTAGTCATCGCACGTCGGAAGCAGTCATGGGATATCACCCCTCATCTGCATCTTCCTGCAGCTAGCTCAGAACAGGAAACACATTTTGAAGGTCGAAGAGATTCTGTGGCAATATGTAATTGAGGTCAACATTTTATCATATGGCGCATAAGGCCATGGACATTAATTGTCTGATAAATGTGGCTCGCATTGAGGAATGAATTTCTTATTGCTTGAAATATCGACTGCTATTTATTGAGAAAACATGTTGTGGCATTCGCTTCACCAGGCTATGTAATATACTAAATCCATTCGCGAAGTACACGTATATCGTAACCAATTTCAAACATAAACAAGAATCGTATACACTAATTGGTGCAGGTAATAATTTCGCGTTCATTGCATCTTTTTGTAGTCATGGTTACAATTACTATCTATCTTATAGCGAGAATGTTGTGTTATAAGATAGGTAACGAGTGTCTGTATATACCACACACCGGGCAACACGACCAAACACGGGAACATATGGTATAAAAGACAATATAGGAAATTGCATCGGACATTATGTTTGTTAATGGTGCGCTAAATGTGGAAATTTTGGACATTTGCTTTCATTTGTGACAAATTGTCCTGAACCTTTGAAGATATACTGATGGAAATGATTAAGGAAACACGTAGTTTTAGACACAGTGAAATGATATACTATCATGGGTTCCCAGCCTTGCCTACCAAATACGTGTTAGAAACAATGCACACAAACACATCTCAACATTTGATTCTGACATGTGTTGAATATGGTTGCGCGCTATTTCAAATGTACTGACAGTAAAGCTTATTTCCCTATAGTTTTCAATGTTCTCTCGTTGATTTTCACCAGTATTGATATATAACTTTGTCTATGGTCCCCACGTGTTGTTACAAAAAAATGGGTCAAGGAATGAAGCCCTTTTTGTGTGTGACAGTGTACAAAGTTAAAAAATCTTCGAAGACACAACACCAAGTAACGACTTGATAACTGTGTGCGAGAAGTCAACCAGAGAAATACACAAGGGTGAGAAAAACTCTACAAATGCGGAAATCTTAGAATCAGGCTAAGATTAAGTACTTGCATGAAAAGGGAATATCACTAAAGGAACTACACGAACACCTGCAAAGCAAGCTTTGTGATGACTGCTGACGTTTAGGCAAGGCAGAAGTAGCACAGATGATGACCCTAGGTCTGGTCGTCCTAAAGCCACTTCTGAAACTCAAATGGAGGATGTCCATTGCTCACCGAAGTGTTAGAATTAAACATATCACTGTCACTGTTATGATTAATTCTGGGTAAGTAAGTCCATCATAACTGGACAAGTTGTCCGCAAGACGGGTACCCAGATTGTTGTCATCAAATCAGAAGCCCACCCGACTGAACACAGGGACCTTTGGACTAGTTACAGGCAGAATCTTGATAAAATGTTGATGCGAAGGGTAACCCAGGATGAGACCTGGGTCGCCCAGTTTGATCCAAATTCAACACTTCAGGGCAGACTTGAAGTATTTGGCCTCACTCCCTCTAAAGAAACTGATGGCTTCAGATGATAGTCATGGTTTCGGTTTACTGGACAATAAGGGGATAATCATGATTGACTATCTTCAAAGAAGTCTATCAATGGGCAACTACTATGCCACAGAACTACGTCAGTTAAAATACCTTCAAGGAAAAATGTTGTGAAAGTCCCCCCTTGAGGTGTGCCTCTACTTGAGGACAATGCGCATGTACACACGTCACAAGAAACAGATTGTGGCTTTGTAAATTTCTTCTCCGAAGCTAGTATCCTCTGACTTAGACCTCTTCCTGATACTCAAATCACACCTACATGTAAAGCCAAGGTGATTGCTGCTGGCGACACCTTTTTGGGGAACCAAGATAAAGACTCCTATCGGAAAAGGATAACAAAACTGGACCATCTCTAGTCCAAACCGATTGATGTCATAGGTTTGTTTGTTTGTTGTTTAACGCCGCACTCAGCAATATTCCAGCTATATGACGGCGGTCCTTAAATAATCGAGTCTGGACCAGACAATCCAGTGATTAATATCATGAGCATCGATCCGCACAATTGGGATCGATGACATGCATAAACCAAGTCAGCGAGCCTGACCACCCGATCCCGTTAGTCGCCTTTTACGACAAGCATTGTCACCTTTTACGTCAAGCATTGGTTGCTGAAGACCTATTCTATACCGGATTCTTCACGGGTCTGATGGAGCTTGTATTGAAAGATAATGTTTTCATGTTTTATTATGAACGATTTTCCTTCATACTCAACACATTGAATCATTCAACACTATCAGAGACTTTTATGATACAAAATGTTTAGAAACCAGAAAACTATCTCGGTCTTATTGTTTGAGGTTTAAAGTAGAAGGGGGCACAAATGGCCAAGATGTCCAATGCCCGTGAACTGGCTGTGCAAAGTAACGTCCCTAAGGCACGCCATAAACCTACGACTGTGTGTTCGAATCCAAGACTCGCCGTGATTATGTTTCCAGGTTGCCAGCATTATACCCGGGATCGTGGTGTCCTATTTGCTGACTGTAACGAAAGACAATACCTCCACTGTACAGTTGTTTCATACAGATGTCACTTACCTGGTTAATGCATGTCATCGCATCCCAATTGCGTGGATCGATGCTCATGATGTCGATCACTGGATTGTCTGTCCAGACTAGATTATTTACAGACCGCCGTCATATAGCTGGAATATTGCTGAGTGCGGCGATAAACAACAAACGAACAAACAGAAACTTCAGTAATGAAGCAGAGGAGATAGAAAGAGAACTATAATTACATTCGAAGTTAAATGACAAGCGTCTGTATAAATGCATGTGTGTGATATAGTTAATAATTGAATAGTCATCGTACATGTTTAAGCTAATGTATATACACTTAGTCTTGTATATATGATTGTGTTAATGTGCGGTTTCTGAAAGTGATCCTGATGGGCAGAGACCCGTGAAGATCCGGGTTAGAATAGGT